CAGCCTGACCAACATGAAGAAACCCCGTCTTTACTAAAAATACAAAAAATTAGCCAGGCATGGTGGCAGGCACCTGCAACCCCAGCTGCTTGAGAGGCTGAGGCAGAAGAATCACTTGAACCTGGGAGGCAGAGGTTGCAGTGAGCTGAGAACATGCCACAGCACTCCACCTGGGCAACAGAGTGAGACTGTCTCAAATAAAAAAACTAAAAAATATAAATTTCTTTTTGGGGTAATAAAAATGTTCAAGAATTAGACAGTGGTGATGATTATACAACTCTGTGACTATGCTTTTTAAAAAATGCTGAATTTGAGGCCGAGCATGGTGACACATGCCTATAATCCAGGCACTTTGGGAGGCTGAGGCAAACGATCACTTGAGCCCAGGAGTTTGAGACCAGCCTGGGCAACACAGCAGGACCCCGTCTCCATGAAAAATAAAAATCAAAATTAGCTGGGCATGGTGGAGCCTCCTGGGAGGCTGAGGTTGGAAGACTGACTGAGCCTAGGAGTTTGAGATTAGCCTGGGCAATACAGTGAGACCCCAATCTCTACAAAAAGTACAAAAATTAGCCAGATGCGGTAGCATATGCCTATAGTCCTAGCTACTTGGGAGGCTGAGGTGGGAAGACAGCTTGAGCCTAGGAGGTGGAGGTTGCAGTGAGCTGAGATTGCACCACTGGACTCCAGCCTGAGTGAGACCCTGTCTCCAAAAACAAAAATACTGAATTTTTAAAACAATGAATTTTATTAGGGCATGGTGGCTCACAACTGCAATCCCAGCACCTTGTGAGTCTGAGGTGGGTGGATCACCTGAGTTCAGGAGTTCAAGATCAGCTTGGCCAACATGGTGAAACCTAATCTCTACTAAAAACACAAAATTAGCTGGGCATGGTGCTGGGCACCTATAATCCTAGCTACTTGGGAGGCTGAGGCAGGAGAATCACTTGAACCTGGGAGGTGGAAGTTGCAGTGAGCCAAGATCACGCCATTACACTCCAGCCTGGGCAACAAGAATGAAACTCCATCTCAAAAAAAAAAAAAAAAAAAAAAGCGTTATATCTCCAAAAAACCCTTTCAATCACGGGAATATTTCAAAGATTTCATTTTTTTTTAATGGCATAATAGATAGATTTATTTAAAGCTATCATGGAACACCTTGAATTAGGTGTTATATTTAAGAACATATTTGTTCCGGAGAGAATGTGAACTGGAAATAAAAATATATTGGCCGGGCGCAGTGGCTCAAGCCTGTAATCCCAGCACTTTGGGAGGCCGAGGTGGGTGGATCACGAGGTCAAGAGATCGAGACCATCCTGGTCAACA